CATGGGGATGATAACGCAGAGATGTTTCTGTTGTTGCCGAGCAGGGCTCACACAGAGACAAGGCCTTTCCTGGTTTTCCTACTGCCGCACTGGTGAGGAAGTGGGGGGTGCATCGGAGGTTGAGAGGAGGCACAGGCGGGACAGGTGACCAAAACTGACCAAAGGGATATTGCAGACCATACGAAAATATATAAACTGGGGAGAAGAAGGAGAGAGGAGATGTTTGGAGTGATGGTGAGTAATCTTTACGTGTGAAGGGGCTCTGCTCTCCTGGGGGTGGCTGAACAACTGTCTGCCCATGGGAAGCAGTGAATTAATTCTTTGGTTTGCTTTTCTTGTGTGCACAGCACTTGTTTTCCTTATTAAACTGTCTTCATCTCAACCTATGAGTTTTCTCACTTTTACCCTTCTGATTCTCTCCCTGATCCCTCTGGTGGGGGAGTGAGTGAGTGGCTGTGTGGAGCTTAGCTGCTGATTGGGGTTAAAGCATGACAATTGGGATACCTCTAGATGTTCTATAAAACTTCTGTGCTGACCTAACAAAGGTAAAGCAAGTCTCCTTTCATGGGTTTCTCTGAGCTATAATTAGCTGAATGGAAGCTTTTTGAGAAGACTTGATTATATCAGGGCAGGGGCCATTTGGTAGAAGGTGAAGCAGGGTGAATGCAACCCCAAACCAAGAAGGAAGACCTTGGTATGGTGTCACCCAAATCTGGGCACCCTCCTACACCCCACAGGGACTCAAGCACTACAAGGCAGAGGAGGGAGGCAGGGGAAACATTCTGTGCCTACACTCTCTTCATCACACGCACCACAAAGACTTCTTGGTGAAAAGGTCTCAAAGCTGCCTTCAGAAGCTCTTACTTTGATATGGCAGCTGTTCAGAGGAACTCATCCCTTTGAATGGTTTAGATCATGACACTTCCAACACTCAGCCTTGAGCATCACCTGTGCAGCAACTGACTCATGGTTTGCAGAAGGAGCTTGGGAGGGAGCTCCTTGTCATACTGAGCTGCTTATATTTCATCAATGGCACTTTCTCAGTGGCATCAAGGCTGCCATCCACCTTTAGCAATGCCTGTTTTCCTAAGGAAAAGATGATGGAGACTTGTGTCAAACAGCTGGTGTCACCTCCCAGCTCCCAGCTGGACAACCTGTGGCCCTGGCAGCAGCAACTCTAAGGACCATGGGGGCTCACAGTCCCAATGTCTCGTGGTGGCTCCCTGACTCAGGAAGCTATAATGCCAGGAGGATGGTGGATGACTTCATGCCAGCAGAATCTAATACCTTGTGATCCTATGATCTAGTGCAAAAGGCAGGAGGAGTGGGAAGCCCAGCAGGCACCTGATTGAAGAGGCTGGGGGAGGTAAGAGGAGACAGTGTCCTGCTGTGCATTTCTTCCACCTCCATAACCTTCTTATTTTCAAAGAGTTTCCATAGGGCTGTGGTAGCTATTGTTCTCCAGACCTGGTGCATCAGCATCCCCACTACACTGGCAGCAGTTTGTGATTCACACACTGCCAGCCCTTCTCCTTCTTCATGTCAGTAAAATGAGCAGCTTGTTTGGCTTCAAGAGGAAGCAAAATGTGTGCAACTTGGACACCCCCACGCTAACCACGTACAGTGTGATGATGCTGCATACTCTACAACCATCAGGGCCTTCCTGGGCACGTGATCACGCTCAGACAGACAAAACACGTGCCTCTCCTTCCTTCCTTCCTTCCTTCCAAAACTGATCACAGCAGCCTGGTCAAACTTCGGCACAACTGTTATTGGTGTGCAGAGTCAGCAGTAAATGAGCAATTATGTATGTTCAGTTTTCAAGGAGGCTGCAGGTTTGTCTTGGCCGTTAAGACAAAAAGGACAATAATGCAAAACTACAGCAAAGTTTAAGTAGTAATTCTGCACAAGCAGGCAGGTAACATCAATGTAAAAGTCATTCTTGTTTTTTCTGCCTGGCTCTGTAAAAAGAGAAATACTGGCAAGGCTGTGCATTTTTTGAAACCTGCATTATTTTTTTCCCTAAAAAGGGTTGAAATAGGCTTAAGCATTACTGTTATTATCTCTAAAATGACAGAGACATTTCCATGTGAGTTTCCATTCACAGATATCTATATTTACAATGTGCACACCTTTGATTCAGGGACTGCAGGTCCCCTGTGGTCCAAGGACTCAAGGTTCATTTTGTGTAGCTCGTTCTGACAAAATGGGGTTATTAGTATTAGGAAATAATGCAAGGTCACCCACAGCCTTGATAGGAAAAGGAGGGTAGGAGAATATTAGAGAGAAACTGTAAGCTGTAACATCCAGCTGCAGTTGGCAAACCTGAGTGCATTTGGAGTGCCTGCACCAGTGTTTCATTCCCCTGCTTCCAATTGATTGCCCTAGCCTAGTGATTAACCACCTGAATACACCCAAGAAGGATATTCACAAAAGGATCTCATGATAAAAAGGCTATTCCTGGCCCTCTTTCCATCACATCATAATCTGTCCACTAATATGGCTTGAGATCTCAGCTGATCAAAAGGTCATAAGATGCTACTGCTAAGTATCACTGTCTCTGTTCAGCCGACGGCATTTTTACTCCATTCAGCAGTCAGAGGAATGTAATAGCAAAGCTTTCAAATCTGTTTGTATAATAGATGAAGTCTTCTCTATATGGCATTTATCATCCTTCAGGGAATGACACCTGATAAATAAATCTCTAGTTCCCAGTAAATTTAAATAAAACAAAGGCAAATCATATCACTGCACACTGTAAATATGAAACTGCAGAGAACATAAGGGTTCCCAATCTCTCACCATCTCCTTTGCTGCAAAAGCTATGAAGTGCTGACCACCCTCAGATTCTACCAAAATCAAGGGAGCCCAAATCTCTGCATACATTACAAAAAGCATGGTGATAACACAGGAGGGACTAAAAGATACATCAGTCATTTAGTCTGATGAAATGGTAAAAATTAATTGTTTTTCAAGCTAGTAAACCCCCCAAAACAAATAAAGGGGTTTATTAGCATATCAGTAGGAATAACTGAGTGAAAAGGGGGGGAGAGGGAACCCAATAAATGGGGGAATGTGTTTCCCAGGGAGTAACACTAGGGGGGACAATTTTCAAACATCCTGGAATGAATAACTACTAAACCACATCCTACCCAACACCACCACTCTGTCCAGCACTGCTGTACTGCAGTGTGCCAGTGGCTACTGGTCCATATGACACCAGCCATGGCCTCCAGTGCCAACTGCAGCCACTTCTCTGGCCATCCTACTTCCAAACCATTCAACCTGGGCAGAGATCGCTGCCCAAAACAGCAGGAGGAGAGGGAACCACTGCCAAGAGCCACTTGCTACCTGAAGCCTCTGTCTAGTGGATCTGCAGAGGTAGTTCCTGTGGGGACCACCACTGAAAAAGGCTCTGCTTTGTGTCCCCAGCACACCTGAGGTGTTGTCACAACCAAATTAAACCCCTCAGCATTTCCCAGACAATCCTCCCACTCCCCGGCTTTACAGACCTCTGTACCTGAACCAACAGACAGTTTCTTTAACTACAACTGGCAGTCATTTTGCTCCTCTCCATGCTTTCAAAGCTGAGAGCCATCAAAGATTAGCAGGAAAAAATCATGACTATTTTTCCCTAAGAAGCAGCACTGGTAATAGGCTTCAGGAAAAATCCTCCTAAATGCAAGTGATAAGCGTAGACTGTGTGAAGGCTGACAGGTCTGATTATAATTATCACTGCGAGGGGACTAACACTAACCTCCCTTCTGGAAGGTAATGACAATTCCTGGAAGGGAACATGCAAGTGAATTATCATAAACAAAATCAGTGCGAGTAGAGTTGTCTTTCACTGGGAAACTAAAGATCCAGATTTGGGGATGAAAAAAAAACTTACCAAACCAAATAAATCTTGAACATTCCTTAAAGTTTATCCCTTAAATAACACTTAATCATACATTGAAGTTTTGCTGACTTCAGGATGATGGGAGTAAAAGAATCAAGAGGGCCACATGAAGCATGAGTGGAGTCATGCATGCAAGAAGTGTTTGGAAATAAGGGATATATTCTGAAACTATACTTAAAGAACATATCCTGCATCATAAAAATGAACAAGGAATCCAAGGGAGGATGTTGGTCCAGACTGAGCTAAATATTCAAAACTAAGATAAAACTCAGGCAGCCTTTCACCAACCTTTCCCCCTTCCTCACATCCTAGCAGGAAGAAACCCAGACAGAAGCAATACAGAGCTCTTCAAATTGCTTCTATCCATTGAATTCCTAAAATTGCATCTATACAGTAACTGAAATACCACAGCACCAGCTTTCAGCAGGGTTGTGAGGTAGAGAGGACAGGTAGTATTCCTTCAAGATCATCCTGCCCTGACCTCTGTGCTTTCTCTGACAACATTGCATTTTTCCTAGTCTGCAGATTGGTTTTGCATTTCTCACTCCATTTCCATTGGAGACTTGGATATAGAGAAACTTGGGCAATCTGGAATAAAAGTAGCACTACAAGCACCTTTTTCTGTCTGAACACAGGGCAAGAGATATTGTCTTCTTAATAGTGGGCTGTAACTGCAGAGCAGATGAAGAGAAGAGCCTCAGAGTCAAAGGCAGCTCTAAGAGTTTCATTCTCATTCTATCTCAATGGAGTGAAGCAAATAAATTGTGCAAGGAGACATATGGAAACTCACTACGCAAATGGCCTATTTAAGGCTCCTACTTCCTAATTAGGTCCTGGTGTCAGGAGGTTGGTAACAATTATTCACACATAGATCATTTGGATACAATACAAACTGTTCTAAAATCCAAACCATCGTAATGGCACGAATTAAAAACAAACCTTATTCAGCTTGATCTTTTTAGACTCCTTTGCTTAGGGCTTGGACTATCAGTTTCTGTGCTATGCATACTTACATTTTGTGTCTAACACTGCAAAAATGCGCCTGGAAGGGGAAAAGGAATAAACAAAAAGCATCAGGGCCATAACCCCTTGTTCTTACCTTGTTCACAGATTTCGTCACTGGACTCTGCACAGGGAACCCACACTCTCTTCCCAAATTCTTCATCTGACTCTGTGGTGTTTCCCAAAGCAAAAAGAAAAGACAAAACCTTGATTATTGGGATGACTGTGTAGAAGATGGTCACAAGCCCACAGAGTTTTGCTCTGCCCTTTCAGTTTCTTTACAGCCTTCAGTATGGCCACCACCATGTGCCAGCCCCCAGAGCTGGGGCTCACTCTCAGCCCTGCAGAGTTTTGGAAGGTCCCCCAAGCTTTCCCTTACCCCACACAGATGTGTAGGTTTCTCCTCCCAAGCGCCCCCAAGTACTGGCACAATGAGTGTTGATGTCAGGGAGAGACACCACGGATTCCTTTGACAACCCCTGTTAGAAAGGCTTGGGAAGAGCAGGAAGGTGTCACAAGATGTCAAGCTGCCTGCTTTGAATAGGAGCTAAAGTAAGGAGCTGAAGTCAAGGATTACCACATTGGAAAACCATTTAAAACGGGGTAAGTGCTTGTGATTCAACATCATGACTGCAACCAACCTGCTCTGCCCTGTGCTTTGGTACTTCTGGTACGAAAATTAGGTCTGCCTCTCCTTCCTCCATTCCCACTTCTCCTCTTTGTCCACCTCTCCAGCCCTTCACACAAAGGTGAAATATTTTACATTTTCACCTGTGGTGATGCAGATCAGAGAGTGTTTTTTTTTGCTTTGCTTTGCACTGATTTTGCCAAAGGCATCCTTTCAAGCATCAGCCTGTGCAAAGATAATAGGTGACACAATTCTCTGTAACTGGAATCAGCAACAAATCAGCCATCTGCCACTCCAGGGGGCTGAGATTAACCCAGCTACTGGACCGTGACTGCAAAGCATTTGCACATTTAGATTACAGAAATATGAGGTTTCCGGTCCAAAAAAAATAAGACCGGGAGTGGGGAAGGTGTGGAAGATAGCCTTGGAAGAGCTCTGCAGATTAACCCTTCCAGACACAAGTCATCTCATAACAACTCCAAGCAAACAGTATTTCTCATTATAAAGTGTTAAAAGGGTGAAGGATTTGAAGGAAACAACTTGATATACGAGACATCATGTTTCAGGAGAATACATCCAGTGACGCCTCCTTTATACAGGGAGAAATAAATACAAAAGCATTCAAGTGCCTTGTCACTGCCTTCCCTCCTTGGGAAGTATGACCAAGCTGCCCAGATGGCTTACTTGACCACTTGGAAAGTACAAGAGCAGCATTTTTGCCCCAAAGCTCCCCTACTCTCAAGATACCAAGGGAGTGAAAGAGGTCTGAATTCTGAAATAACAAGGTTTAGGAAGGTCTCTTCATCTGTTGCTCCCAGTTCACGTTCTTGAATAACAAACACTACACTGCTACTCTGTGCATATGGATGCTGTGATTCCACATTAATACTTGTCCATATCTTTGGGATCCTCTCCGTGAACCTGATGGGAATTGTTGTTTGGTAACTCATGTATCAAGAGCTTTAAATCAGTAGTAAACACAAGCTGCTTCCACATGTAAAAGCATGAACAATGGTCTGTACAGTCGCATAGTGGGTCAGGACAATACCAGGGTCTCCTCTGGTCCCTTTGATGTGGGTTGCAATCTCCACTCCTTCCATTTGCTCTTGTAGGTTAGAATCCCATGGATCCTTGAGATTACCATCCTTAGGGATCACAGGTTAAAAAGAGCAGGTTGTGCCCAGAGGAAGATGAGTAGCCACAGACAAAAATACCAGCAAGAACGTCTGGAAAATTCTGGAATATTGAGAACAATGGAATTGTTCAGTCTGGAGAAGACAAGACTCCAGGGAGACCTTGAGCACCTGCCAGTACCTAAAGAGGCTAAAGAAGAGCTGAGGAGGGACTTCGGACAAGGGCCTGGGGTGACAGGACAAGGGGGAATGGATTCACGTTGCCAGAGGCAGTGTTAGATGGGATATTGGGAAGGAGTTGTTCTCTGTGAGGGTGGTGAGGTCCTGGCACAGGTTGCCCAGAGAAGCTGTGGCTGCCCCATCCCTAGAGGTGTCCAAGACCAGGCTGGATGGGGCTTGGAGCAACCTTGTCTGGTGGAAGGTCTCCCTGCCCGTGGCACAGGGGGTTGGAATGAGATGAGCTTTAATATTTGTTCCAACCCAAACCATTCTGTGATTCTATGAAATTCAGGCAAGATCTGCATGGTGCCTGCCCTTGGTGAGGATGGTGGCTTAAATACACAGCTCATCTCATAAAGCCCAAAGAGACAACTGAAAAGCAAACAGCATGCACATGTGTTTATAGAAACCCATGTATTTTATGTATGCCTTTTATTCGGAGAAAACAGGTAGGATCAGGTAAGCATGGTATAAGGCTCAGCTGAGAGGTGAGGAAGAGCAAGGGATCAGTTGCTGTAGTCATTCTACTCCATACAAAACCTGCTGACATCACCTCAGAAACGAGTGCACCTCCCAGCAGTGTTAATCTGGGACTGAGCATTTGATCCTCCACAGAGTAAGGACTATTGATTTGCAAGGAGCTGTGAGAAGAGGGTGAGAAGAGCAGGCCTTTGAGTCTCCCTGAATTCCCCACTATTTATCAGAGTATTTCCAGAAAGGCATTGCCTGGGCAGAGCTAGGTGCTCCCAAACCAGGTCTACATGTTTGAGACCAAAGGTGAGGTTTGAAGTGGTTTGTATGTCTACTAGGGCATGGTTTTCAGGTGAGAGAGAGGTCAAAGGGATCATCCCATGCCTAGGACTACAAAATGGGCCAAGCTAGTAACCCAAGAACCCACAGACTCCTGAGATGCAGCAAGTTAACAAGGCTCTGCCTGTGCTTTAGAAAGGTTTCCTTGAACTTGACCTGCTAGCTATGTGAGGGCTAAAACTGATAGAAGAGGATGTGGACCTGTTTTCAAAACCAAAGGCTGGGATTTTCTCTTTCTCCAGTCTCTAGTTTCTGTAAAGACAACCTAAAACTCCAAATCTGAATTCTAAATGGTCCAAAAAGGAACATCTGTGGGGTGGGGGAAAAATATTTGCATTTAACTTCAACAACTGAACTATTACAAGAGTGCTCGTGCTGGTAATAATTTTTAAAATGCTAAAAAAAGTAATAATAAAACTCCATTAAAAAAAAAAGGTTAGAATTTTTATATCCCTTTTCCTTGACTGTAAATGGAGGGGCAAGGGAAACAACACAGGGCAAACCCCTTCCTTTCAGACAAAAATCACCACAAAACTCCATCCCATTTCTTGCCAGTTAACCAATCTTATGAACTGATGCAGTTTCATCCCCACATGACAATTTTTGTTTGTTTTATCCAGACATGCTTTGCAGGAAGGGGCTTTTGCAACCCAAACAGCGCCACTGCATCAGCCAGGCGCTGAGCTGAGCCGTGGAGCTGCTTGGAAGTTGCCTCGTCTCCCAGCAAATGAGAAGCGGAGGGAAACACCGACGCAGGCGACGCTGCACCTTGCAGCAGAGACTCGTGTGTCCTACAAGTAACCTTGCATCAAGATACAGAGCCACAACAGCAGCCTTATGGGTACAGTGAGAGGAGGAGGAGGAGGAGGACAGCGAGGAGGAGGGGAAGGGCAACAGGAAAACAATCAGAAAACTCACTGGGAATCAAGTGTTCTATTCCTCCTTAGGAAAAAAAAAAAATTAAAAAAAAAAAAAGCCCTCCCTGATACAGAGATGGAAGGAGGGGATGAGCCCCTTTACACTCCATGTCCCCAGCAAAGGTCCCCTCCCTTTCCCAGAGCTCCTAAATACCAGTGGGGGTGGCTGGAGGAGAAAAAGGGTCACATTTAAAAGGCGAATGGGAAGCAGGGAGGAGGGAGGACACTCCTGAGCCCGGCCAGTGGCCCCACGGTCTCAGCCATTCTCATTCCTGACACGTTTCCCTTCTCTCCAGCACAGCCCAGCTTCGAAATATTAGTGCGGCGCAGAGTGCCATTTTCGAGTCGCTGCAGCTCCTTCTTGGCACCGGTTCAGCTTTTTGTCTTGCCTTCTCCTCCGAGCGCCCAGCGGAGGGAGGGAGGGAGGAAAGAAAGGCGGAAAACGAAGCCCCGCTGGTTCGCTGTCAGACTCCCCGCGGCACCCCCGCCCTGCCCGCGGCACCCCGCACCCTCCCAGCCTGCTCCCGACCCAACCACTCGGCAAACATAAATCTCTTCCCACCTTCACGGCAGCCAGTTCACAGCCTCCTTCCTCCCCCCCCCACCCCCTCCCCACTTCTCCCCGCCGCCACCCCTTTTCATCGCGCTCTCTCCCTTTGTACTCCTCTAAATTTTTCCAGCCAAGCGTTACAACCTTCTACCCTCCCTTTCTCCTCCGTCCCCAGCCCTCCCCACCTCCTGCTCTCACACCGGCAACAAAAAAAAAAAAAAAAAAAAAAAAAAAAATAAAAAAAAAAATCGTGCCATGGTTGCCAGTGCCCTGGCATCTCTCCTCGAGGTGTGGGGAGCCCCTGGACACACAACAAGGCCGGGAGGTCCGTTCCAGCCTGGAGCTGCCCAGGCGCGGAGCTCATGGGCGCACACGCGTGTGCACACGCACATGTGTGACAGTGCAGGACACACTCTGAGTGCATCCCTTGGCACTGCTGGAAATACAAGCGTGCCTTTGGCAGCTGAGTCCCCCCTCCTCCTGCCTGTGGGGCTGGGAGAAAAGAAAAGCAGAGGCGGAATAACAGGGGAGGGACGCTGTATTTTTTTAAAGCAACCCAAACATGGCACTGAGCGCTTCCACCAACAACTTCTCAGCCTGCTGTGCTGGCAACCAGCTGCTGGTTCTAGCCTGGCACTGGCTTTGATTTGTTTTTCTCTCCTCTTAAACGCCCTCCTCCCAAATATTTATCCCCTTATTTTATTTTTTTTTCTTCTCTATTTCCCTCTTAGGTTTTCTGTAGGGACAAGGCTTGCCCTTATGCTTGTCACTTTCTCTCTGGTGACTAATGCCAGGACTCAAGGGAACAGCATGAAGCTGTGTCAGGAAAAGCACAGACCTGATATTAGGAAAAGGTTCTTCACCCAGAGGGTGGTTGGGCCCTGGAACAGGTTCCCCAGGGAAGTGGTCACA